GTGTTCGGCTCGTTTACACCCCTATATGTGTACATACTAAATTGTTGTTGAGAAAAAAACATGCTTCAAGAAAAATTTGAACAGAATTCGAATATAGCTTGAGATTTTGTGCATGATTATAGCAAGTTACAAACAAGTTTCCAATAAAATTATGTTATTCCTCATGAAATTTGAAATTTAAGACCCAATATGCAAACAAGGTTTCAATAAAGTTTGAAACTCCAATTTAAGTTCATATTTTATTTGTTTATTAACGTAGAGTTTTCATTTAATCACTTTCATATAATAACCAATACCTATCAATGATGAATGCATTCAAAACTAAACAATCAATTGTAAAACATCAATAAACCTCCAACATATGATGTTGTAAATATCACACGAGCTCTGAGATGGTTGAAGAGAGAAGTTATGAGAAGAGGAATGTTCGAGCAGTTCCTCTGTTTGAAAGTTCCCGTTAATTATTAGTCAAGAATTATGACTCATATTTTAATAAAAAAAAAGGTGTTTTGGACTTAATATTTAATGAATCATGTGAAGCCAAATTTGACGTCCGAAGAAATGTTAGTAGTTCCAACCAATAAACTAAGGGTGCTTTTAGGGCAGCGGTGTGGTGTCACGCCATATTTTTTTGTGTTTGACAAACTGTGTTTTGCCTATTTTTTTTTGAAAATTGTAGTCTGACATTTTGAAAAAATGTTGTGATAGCCAACACAACTTTTTGAATAACTTCTTCTGCAACAACTTTACAAATGTTTATTCAAACAGCTGCAGCCGTTCCAAATAGACCCTAGGTATGTGCTCCCATAATTGCTTCAAGTTAGCTGTAGCCATGCCTTCACAGAAAAATATTGGCATACATGATCCTTCAACACTGAATTCATGTTGCAATATCAAAACCAACTAAAGTTCAAATAAATACGCATATATCTTTCAAAGAGAATGATCGTAAAATTCAACCACTATTCTACGAAGAATAGAAATTTCATTCATTGTTGCATGGCAAGCTGAACATTTTTAGTTTTGAAGATTAATTTGTATGCAATGGATATAAGAGTAGTTAGCAGGTCATTGGCAAGCCCAAAATAAGAAAATATAGAAGGGAAAAAACTGCTAGAGTAAAAAGCAGAGCCTTGTCAATTAAGTACAGGTATAATAAAATGGCTAACCTGCAGGAATCAGATATAGCACATGTTTAGATGTCGGAACCCTGCACTGAAAAAGAGTAGCAGTAAAAAGTGTTGAATGTCTTGCCTCCAAACAAGCATTTCAGTAATTATCTTGAACAGAAGACTATTTCCTGAATATGAAGATAAGAACTGGTCCACCTGGTTTATTTGCAGTTTCAAATTTGAAGCAATTCCAGCCCTCAACAGGCAGGCTGGATGCAAATGAAAGGACAGCTTCAAACTCTTCCCTATGGTGTGCAAAAAGAAAATTAAAAATAATTACAGTCATCCCATATTAATAAGAGAAGCTCCGCAAGTTATTTGAACAGATAGAAAAGCTGTGCATTGGCAGGCGGGCTAACAAGGCAAGGCACAGGGTAGAATAAACTTACGGGCAAATTAGGATCACTTTTTATTTTTTATTTTTATTTTATTTTGTTTATGTTTTGATTTAAAATAAAACATGCTTGATATGATATAACATTTTTAGCTATTTTCAAAAACGCACTAACTTTTAGATCTTTTGAGTGATTTTAAAAACAACCTAATTTCCTTTTAAAAAAATTAAGAAAAAATGTAAAAAAAGCTCTAAACAAACATATTTTTAAAAGAATAATAAATACAGAAAACAAAAAATAAAAGTGATTCCAAACCAGCCCTTAAATTGCTGCAGCGGCGATGTGGGCTAAGACAAAAGACATTTAACTACACTCAATGACTAGAAGAAGAATAATTGATTTCACTGAAAAAGGGAAATCTGGTTTTCTTAAGATCCTCTTTCTCATGCATATTTATTATAAATCAAGTAAATGTATTTATAAGCATAAAGTTTTTTTGAAGTAGCACCTGTCCGGAAATAAGTAGCGTAACAAGGACATACCTTCCACCAGGATGACCAACATAAGCTATAATGCTGATAAGTCCCCCAGGGGATATTATCCTACTTGCAGTTTGCAATGCAAATAATGTTGTATGTGGCTTTGTAATTATGGCCTTATCTCCCCCTGGAAGATATCCCAAATTGAATGCTATAAGCCTGAAGAAGAATAGGCAAAGATGTGCATGAATATTGTAAATTTGATTCCCGAGTTAAATCTCTGCTCAGAAATTTAGTGAAAGATTTGCTAATAACAATCCAACTATTTCCTTAGCATTGCGACAACTTTAATGGATAAGAAAACCATGACAAATAAAAGATTAATGGGGAATTTTAATGACGTGGAAAACTGTAATGACCTGATAGGGGTATCGTTTGATAAAATATCCTCCATCCTGCTGTGACATAGTAAAGACAGCTTAACCAGTTCCCTCTAAAACAAGCAAGATTGCATTATTAGCTTTGGTCAAGCGAAACTGGTAAAATTTGATGACAGTCATAGATATGTACATTGATTAAAGAACATCTAGCATGCACTCAAACAGAACCAAAGCAGAAAGATAGAAGATAGTAAGACAAAGCATATAAGTTAAGTAGCTTTGGCAAAATTGCATAACTACTTTAGAATGGAGAAACTAGACGGCGGCAACATATTAAAAGTAGGATTGCACGTTCATTGATTGAAGAGCATCCAGCATGCACTCAAACTGAACAAAAGCAGATTGATGGAAGATGGAACAATAATCATATAAGATTAGTAGCTTTCGCAATATTGCATTAGTAGCTTTGGACAAGTGCAATATATTATGTTCATAGATTGTAGAACATCCTACATGTACTCAAACTGAATTAACGCAGTAAATATGGCCACAGTCCTATATAGGTGCCATAATTTTGCTGGTCATAAACAACCGCTGAAAAAATGCGGTGCAGAGTTAAACAGCACTTGGATATCTAGGCACCTGTTCTTCAACAACAGACTCTCTCAGCAAATAATCAGTATTCTCTAATGCAGAATTCTGAATATCCAATCCATGAACACAACCCCTCCTTGAATCATCAGCTATCAGTTTAAGCAATGCCAGAGTATCATAGCCATTACCACAAGTAGCATCAACTACTCTATCACCTCCTCGAATGACATTCTTCCAGACTCTGAAACCACATCACCAAGGAGAAGAAAAGTAAACACCATAGACAGCACTCCGTAACACTTGGACAGTTCAAAATCTCAAAAGTTTAAAGAAATCAATTTAGAAAAAAGAACAGATGCATGCCTGTCAGCAAACGCAAGGTAAAACTAAATACATAAAGTAAATATATTGAACAAATTGAACTGGTTCAGGAGAAAATAACCATTCAAAGCTTGATATTACATGCTCCTAACTCAAACTTAAACCGCTGATTTCACTTAACAAGAGGACAAATCATTCTTAAATGCCTCACCTTTTCCCATTTCTTTTCCTTTTAGTTTTTGACAAATAATACACACTTACAGAGATTAGATTAATTAATTGTATTTAAGATTTGTGGAATTTGGAAAAGCTTATACTATAAATGCTGAAGTATCAAAAAGAGTTTGTAAACAAGAGGCACAACTGGAAATTCAGGATTTCACTTCTTTATACAAGCAAAAGGATAGATCAGAATATTCCATGTTTTATACTTTTCAGTAAGCGTTGGGGACATGGTGTAGCAAAAACTTTTTCTGAAGTGCTTATTCAAAAGTAAGTTTTCGTCAGTACACTGATTCCATGTTATGGAAAATAATGTTTCCAATTTAGGCAATTGCAAATAGTAGAGAGCTAGGATTTCTTAGTTAATGATGAAAAGAAAATTAAGCATTGCATATCCTCTTTGATGAGTAGATGCAAGGTAAAAGTAAAACAGAGTTCTTCATGAGAAATGGCATGCCAAATTCCAATGAAGGTGCCAATCACATGCTTCAAATATAAACTAAAAAATAAAAATGTACCAACTTGGCTGAGACTCGAACAAATCCTACTAATACCGCCACATGCTTCAAATATAAACTAAAAAATAAAAATGTTGGCTGAGACTCGATCAAATCCTACTAATACCGTATACAACTCAAAGATTGAAATTTACACATATAATCCCTATAGAAGAATTATGTGAATCACTATTCGGATTTTCTCATCCTAACAATTCCTTGTTTTTTAATTGAACGTTATACTACACAAAATATAGAAATACATTAACATGAGTCCTGGGAATCAATATACGAGTTATCATCTGTTGGAAAGTTTAATAATAAAGAAGAGTACAGAGTAGTGAAGTGAGACCCTGATAAATCAATTTGGGAAAGGGCTGGATGAATTATTACAGTGCATGCCTAATGACGACAGGACAACATTGATGGAAAATTAAATGGTCATATAGGATAGGCTATGAGAAGGTAGGTATGCAATGTTAGATAGAAAGACCATATTCTATGCTAAAATTGATTTTATTGTAGCATATGATATTGTAATAACAAACACATTTTAAGAAATAAAAATAATTAATTACTTTCAAAGGTGGAGCTACCAAATCAAAAATAAACTTCTTTATAGGACTACAGAAAACAAATTTCTTTCTGCAAAGTTGTAAGATGAATCCTTGAAAAAATTATATGCGTGAAATGAATAATTAGTTATGTACATTTATCATAGAAATGCAAAGCAAAAAAATATATATATATGTGAGAAATAAAGAGTAGAGAGGAAAACTAAAAGAAGAAGAGGTAAATCTTCTATCTAGCACAGTAAATCGATGCTATAGCAAACAAGGCAGCTTCAGCAGAATTTGGTATAATTAAGTGGCTAAAAATTGTGTTAATAAAGCTCTCCTGGTGACTGTCCATTTATTGATGAGGGTCGAGAGTCTCGAACACAACCAAATGAGCTACGAATGTAAAATGATACAAGCAAAAAAAATAAACAAGGCACATAGCATAAGTATATACTCTGGTTCGGACCAACAATCAGTCATATTACTTAGTAAAGTTGCTAATTCTTCTGATGGTACTCCTCAAGTAGCTTTGTGAGCTTGGGTGGCAATCTATGTTGAGGCGACGCAGTGAGTCCTGTGATAACCTTGGGCAAATTGCTTATGGGCTTAATGAAAATTCTCCGTTAGGTGGCAGCTGAGTCCGCCTTAAACTCGACTGATAAGTGCCTTGCACTTTAGTGGCAGGTCCGCCTTTTGTCTTCATTGGTGAGCTCTGTCTTCTTGGGATACGACTAGCAAATCCATCTTGAACCTGGCTAGCAGGTTCAACTTGAGACCGAACTGGCAAGTTTGTCTCCTATCACTTATTCGATCTATTAATAGAGTGTATATTTGATTTCTTGATTCTCTTATATCTTTGAAAGATAACTAGAAAAAAAGAAGACACAAGAGATTGATAGAAAATATGATTTTAAATATATGGGTCAATACTTAGCTCGTACTTCTGGACGAGTTCCATGCTTTCCTATGTTGAATTCATCGCTTTGCTTCCTTGTGAAAGGATAATTAACACAACAATTAATATTTAAGGTGCATGGAAAGTGTAGGCAAGAAATCTAAGACAAGTTAGCATAAAATTTTGTTCATAGATTTGCTATTTTTGTTGTTGTGTCCACATTACCATGGTTTGGCTTCTATAAAAGGTCTATATCACTTCACGGTCAGGAGTTTATAAAATCTCAGTTCCTTTATCTTCCTTCAACATTTGAGCTCTGCATTTTGCGTGAAATGAAAGTTTGAGAAAAAATCATGATATTTTCAAGGAAGCCACGATGGACATCAGAAAGGAATGAACGGCAAAGAACTCTAAAAGAAGAAAAAAATAAAGTTGAATTGGCTGAGGTGACTAAGAATATTGAGATATTTATCCCTGTTATTGAGACAACACTTACTATGGTCGTTATTGACAAGTCTCTTCAAGTGGAAGCTGCTTCAGAACAGGTCGCCAAGGGACCTATAGAGCCAGTGAATAAGAAAGAGTTTTTTGGTGATTTTATTGATGTGGCAATGTTTTTATTTTAAGGTGGTCACGACGGCTATGATCATTTCAGAGATGAAAGTTGCCCTAGAAGTGAATGGTCCAACCACTGAGATAATAGTGATCAAAAGTAAGTTATCTTCTGTTTGTGCTTGGGGAGTATTCTTTCTAGCTTAGCTCTTTTTCACTAACTGGCTCGTAGAGTATCTATAATTTAAAGACTGAAATTCTATATGATGAAAATGATCAAGCTGAAGTTGACCTTGAATTTGCTTTGATGAGTACATTGCAGAGTTTTTTGGCTCATGGCTTCATAATCAACTTGATGGTCCTTTCTCTAGCAATGGGAAATGAAAGTGCACATGCGGCAACCAAAGAGGACAAAGATGTTAACTTTTAGATGCATTTGGTGAGGCTTGAGAAGGTGACGTTATCATATTGCCTAGCTCCTCTCGTTGAGGGTCCTGAGAATAGACAACCTTTCCCACCCAGTGCTAAAGTGGAGCCCTAGTGCTGGCTGGGAGGTAAAATTTTCAAAAAGGTAACAGCAAAGCTTTTCCCTAGTGAGTTCTTAATACATAGAAGGAGATATTAGAGGGGGTGTGCACAGTGAAAAGCTGCCTAGGTGCAACAAACGAAGCTGTTAGTGACCTCAAGAAAAACTCCAATAGCTAAAAAGATTGAAGTTGCTCTCAGAAGAAGGGCCCTCAAGATTTTGAATCAAACTAGAGATATGTTTTTTATGCAGCACTAGGAGAGAAGCAAGCGCCTACCCATTTCTGTCCTTGTTACCCTGTTTTCACATTTTCTAAGTTGTTTCTTGGAAAAGATCCAAGGGGGGGTTTTGTTGACATTAAGGTTGTAAAAATATTTGTAATTGTAATATACTTGTATGCAGTGTAAGAAAATTCAAAGTCATTTTACTATATATGCAATGTAGTGTAAGTTTTTATTTGATGTTAGATGATATTCGATATTCACACTTGTTATAATATAGTCATACTTTTTATTTGTTTTCCTGGTTGCATTGTTTGTGAAGGAAAGCTGTTTTTACTTGATGTTATTTTAGAGTGTTAGTTGTGGTGAGCACATGCAAGTTGTGAGTTAGAGTATAGTCGACCAAAAAAGTCAACTTTCATGAAGTGAAGTAGAGATTCATTCTCTAATTATAAAAATGTTAGGTGAAGGGGACAAGGAGCTAAAGTCGCTTCTTCCTATTCCAAAAGAGTACTTGGTAAAGAGGTTTTTCCCTTCATAATAAATGTGATCATTTAAAAATAGAAAAATTCCTAAAATAACCTTGACTAGATGCTTGCAAGAATAAAATAATCCCGAACATCAATCGTAGTTGCTTTAGGGTCTGTTTGGGGCAGCTGCAGCTTATTGAATAATCTGCTGATAAGTTGATTAAAAATAATCTGCTAATAAGGTAGGTGCGGTGGCTAATAGAAATTTTTATTTTTTGGAAAAGTCATATCGTTGTCAGAATGCTGCCATCGTAGATAGGTGCGGTATAAAACGCTGCTTTCAGCGTTTTCAAAACGCATAAGCTGTCAAAACGCAGTTTACCCAAACAGTTCAGGTGCGTTTTCAAAACGTCACCGCACCAAATAAGCTGCCCCAAACGGACCCTTAGTCTGTTTGGCTCTCTCTGAAATCCAAAACTTCTCTCCCTAGAATCTTTCTTCTCATTTTCCTTTGTAGTCATTTTTTTTCCCTTATGGGAATGGTGATCATTTTGAAGAAATGAGTCAATCAATTCCAAGGGTTCAAGTATAAGGGTTTGTTTGGGGTGTCATTCATAAGGGCGAGCTTTATTCAAACCATCTACGTGTTCAATAAACTCGTTCCTAATGCCTCAAAGAGGATGAGTTCCTTAATTCCTTTGGTCATACGATTATATTGTTATGGAGATCAATTCTGTCTTGGCTTGCAGTTCCTACTATGCACAAATCTTATTGACACTCATCCACATTTTGTCAAATTCAATAACGAGCATACTCTCCTTTATTCTATGTTTACACAAGAGGTAATCCAAATGGAGTCTCAACATTTCTAGCAACTCTTCATAATCAAGGGATTCAAGGAAAAAAGCATCTCCTACCAATGAACAATAAATATTGTTCATCTTAGATAATACAATAAAGACCTCAAAGTAGAAATG